CTCTCTCTCTCTCTCTCTCTCTCTCCACAGTCTCCGACATTACGAACACGACTTGTTGGTGAATTTAAATCAACATTGATGTGATTTAAGATGAGCTTCTGATATCCAATATTTAAAATAAAATTAGAACTGCGAAGCAGTAATGACGGGTTTCACCGGTGCCACTTTACCCTTGAACGTATGTCACTTCCGGTGCCAGTTACCCAGCAATATCAATTGTATTTATACATTTGTTACCATGTGTTACTGTGTGTTACATATGTCAAACTTACCGCTAAGTTAGCTGACTTTTTAATGGGAAATTTCTCAACAAGGGAAGATGCTAGAAGCAATTTTTGGACATCTATATGATCGTATTGGTCCAATCTATATGTCCATTTGAATCAAATATCATAATGTTAAACGAATGATAAATATAACTCACTTCAAAACAATTTGTTTTGAAGGCTAATGATACAGTTTTTGCCAAACTTACATTACTTCCGGTGATATTAAAAATGTTAAATTAATTCTATGAAATTATAAATGGCATAAGGCATCACATGGTGAAAATTTGATGATAATTGAATAATAAATGACACTTTTATAGACCAAAACCTTGAAAAGTGACTTGTAGAATATCGTCTATTTCCCTGCAACCGAACAAGTTAGAAACCATTTTGTGATATCTGTATGGTCGTATGCGTTCATTCTATTTGTTGATTGGAATCAAATATCATTATTTTAAAAACATTACAAATCAGACTCATTTGAATAAAATATCTGTTTTGGGGGCTAAAAATACAGTTTTTGCCCAAATGACGTCATTTTCAGTGACAGTGAAAATGTTAAATTGGATTGACCTAGTCAAAGGTGACATGAGGCATCATATGGTAACAAAAATTGAAAATCGAACGATAATTGACTCTTTTACATGCAAAATAACGTCATTTTCAGTGACAGTGAAAATGTTAAATTGGATTGACCTAGTCAAAGGTGGCATGAGGCATCACATGGTAACAAAAATTGAAAATCGAACGATAATTGACTCTTTTACATGCAAAATAACGTATTTCTCGGCAACTGCGCATATTACAATCTAATTACATACATTGTCCTCGTATGGATTAATGATACAAAATTATGAAAGTTACGTAGAAATAATTTAAAATATGAAGACGATGAATGGGTTGTAAATAGCTGATTTTTACTCCTTTTGTCTCACCCTTAAATTAAAATGGCGCAAATACAAAACCGACATAAAAAAAAACAAAAAAAACTAAGCCCGACATATTTTGCGCCTGTAGTAGGAGCATTCATCTTCATTGATAAGATTTGTAGAAATTAAGGTTTTTCCTTAGGAAAAAACCTCCCGACCCGGCAAAATTTAAATTTTAGGCAAAAATTACGTCACTTCCGGTGCCGACAGAAAACTTTATAGGTAGAAACAAGTTGAGAATTTGCACCAAGAAGTATATGCGCTTTTGTTTTATACAAATCAGGCAAAAAATAATTAATTTAGAACCCATAAACTTTAATAAAAATGCGAAAAGTCATAAAAAGTGATCCTGACGAAATTGGTTATTTCTTTGCAAAAGAAGATGCTAGAAGCTATGTTTTGACATATTTACGATCGTATTGATCCAATCTATATTTCCATTGGAAAGAAATATCATAATGTTAAACGAATACTAAATATAACTCATTTCAAAACAATATTTGTTTTGAAGACTAAAAATACAGTTTTTTTCTAAAATGACATTACTTCCGGTGAAAATGAAAATGTTAAATTAGTTTTAAGAAATCGGAAATGGCATAAGGCATCACATGGTGGAAATTTTATGAAAATCGAATAATAATTTACACTGTTATAGACCAAAAACCTTGAAAAGTGACTAGTAGAAAATCGTCTATATCTCTGCAACTTTACAAGTTAGAACCCATTTTGTGGTATCTGTATGGTCGTGTGGGTTCATTCTATTTGTTGATTGAAATTAAATATCATACTTTTCAACAAATAACATATACGACTCATTTGAAAAAAATATCGGTTTTGAAGGCTAAAATTCAGTTTTTGCCCAAATGACGTCACTTCCGGTGACAGTAAAGGTGTTAAATTGGTTTAATCTAGTCAAACGTGGCATTAGGCATCAAATGGTGAAAGAAAATTGAAAATTGAATAATAATTGATTCTTGTACAGGCAACATAACACGAAATGTGACTCCTGCAAAATTGCCTATTTCTCGGCAACTGCTGATATTACAAACTAATTTTGACATACATTTTCTTTGTATGGGTTATTGCTACGAGGTTATGAAAGTTACGATGAAATATTTTGAAATATGAAGACGGTGGATGGGTTGTAAATAGCTTATTTTTACACCTTTTTCGCCTTTTAATCTAAATGGCCCGAAAACAAAATCGAAATTAAAAAAACTGAGCCCGATGTTTTGTGCGCCTTTACAGGACGCACCCTTTCAGTTAAATCAGATTTGAAAAAAATGATATTTGCTTCCAAAAAGTTGTACCGAACTGTCAAAATCTATCAAAATTGTAGTTTTTGCTGATTTTACGTCAGTTCCGGTGCCGACAGGAATCTTTACCGGTAAAAAAAAAAAATGACATTTTGGACCACGCAGCATATTACAAACTAATTTTGACATACATTTTCTTTGTATGGGTTATTGCTACGAGGTTATGAAAGTTACCATGAAATATTTTGAAATATGAAGACGGTGGATGGGTTGTAAATAGCTTATTTTTACACCTTTTTCGCCTTTTAATCTAAATGGCCCGAAAACAAAATCGAAATTAAAAAAACTGAGCCCGATGTTTTGTGCGCCTTTACAGGACGCACCCTTTCAGTTAAATCAGATTTGAAAAAAATGATATTTGCCTTCAAAAAGTTGTACCGAACTATCAAAATTGTAGTTTTTGCTGATTTTACGTCAGTTCCGGTGCCGACAGGAATCTTTACCGATAACAAAAAAAATGACATTTTGGACCACGCAGCATATGAACTTTCTTTTGTACAAATCGCTCTAATGACAACAGTTATCATCCGATCTGTTTGAAATTGATATGCATCATTTAAACTAGTGAAAGGAAGAAGCCTATTGAGTTTCAGCAATTTCCGTTAATTACGCCGTGAGTTATGGCCCTTGTTTCACTTTGTTGTACCTTGTAAATGCTCTAACGACAAAAGTTATTATCCGATCTGTATGGAATTTATATGTATCATTTAAATTAGTAAAACGAACAAGCCTATTGAGTTTCAGTTATCACCTAAATTAGTGAAATGAAGACGAACAAGCCTATTGAATGTCAGCAACTTCCGTCAAATTACGTCTAGAGTTATGGCCCTTGATCTACTTTGTTGAACTTTGTGAACTTTCGAACAACAAAAGTTATCATCCGATCTGTATGAAATTTATATGCATTATTTGAATTAGTAAAACGAAAAAAGCCTGTCGAATTTGAACAATTTCTGTAGATTGCTTCCAGAGTTACGGCCCTTGTTTTAGTTTTTAGAACCTTGTGAACCTTCAAACAACGAAAATCATAATGTCATCTGTATGAAATTGTCTATTAAATTCCCCTAATTACCTACAAAAGAATAGATATGTGACAACCCTTGTCGACTGCTCGGACGATTTAGCTGCTGTGGGCGTATGTTTTGTTGCCTGGCAACCTATCTTTATATTTGTGATAATTATTTGAAACAAAATAGGATTATCATAAAGGATATTTAACATCTACAATATGAGTACGGCAAACACTCTCTACATACTGCGTTTGTAAACCACAAATTTCACCCCTTATTAGAAAGTTTTAACTATAGTCTATTGCATGTGGACGTTAAAAAAAATCAGCTCAAAATACAGACAACTCCTCTCTCTCTCTGACTAAGGGCTGCGCACGCGTACAAATGTTAAATTCAATCGTTAATTGTACGTACGTAAAAAAAAGAATTCCGACTGCGGAAAGTAAGAATTTGTTTTACAGAGCAAAATTTGAAACTTTACCGCTGTAACGCTACTTGGGCGATCAACTTTTCCACATATTAGAAAGTCCCATTCAAATAGTTAAATCACACAAATATCCAACTTGTTAATGAATGATAATTTTAATGGTGAGTCTTATCATAATTTGTTAAAATAAGCCCCAAATATAGCTCGTTTATTGGATTTTTGTTATGTGCACGAACCACTCTAGGTCACCAATTATTTCCCCATTGACTTCAATGTTAATTCTCTTTAGATCGGCTTTAACTTTTTCCCAAATTTTCGTTGGGTAGAACGCTTTCTACCACAGATGGAGCAACATGTGGCAGCATCTTGCTCAAAAGCACGTTCATCATAAAAAAAAACTTGAGATACACTAACTGGAAGTAGGGACAACAAAACATGCAACTTTCCGTCCCACATTTCTTCGATACTACATCTACGCCAAAAAGTCAAAAATGATCGCCATGCGAAAGGGGGGGGGGGAGACTAAAAATAACTTTCGCCCTTCATTGCTGGGTAACCAGCGCAGGACTAATTGGTGAGCTGGGTCCATTTGTAATGAGCGTCTGGTTGAACGAGGCTAAACATATCCCACTGAGAATACTACCGGTATGGATTGGAATAACCAGACGCCAAAGACTGTTATTCAATTTGGACTATTAGCGTATTTTACGAAATATAACTGATTAAAAATTACAGTAAAAATAGAAACGATTTAATGTAAATCAGTTTATGTACATTCATATAACATTATTTTATGCATAGCGACCCATTTGTGTCCATTTCTAGGTGCCAAAAAATAGCGATTTAGCTCTTTTAAACCCATTAGTAAGATTTGCTTAACAAACAGGAACGTGCTCTCATCTACGGCGATGTAATTTTCAAAAATTGCAAGGGTCAATAAAAGAACCCGCCTCCCCTCCCCCTTTATGACTGTGCCATTCTGAACGACCCGCGTCCGGTGAGTGTCGCTTTCAAAATATTTTAAAAATGAATTATTCTTATTTCTTTACCTGTGTCCTCTTCATCTTGATAACTTCAATATTAAATTTCTTCAATAGTCCAAATCAGAATAATAATAATTGTTTTAAAACATCCACATTGACTGGCTATACACGGTCCATCATCCTCTAATTATCCACTGAATTAAACAATCATGCATCTATCCATCAACTTCTAGTTAATTATACTTGTGAAAATCACTAATCACAGTCTGAATCTCTGGTATTAAGGACCTTACTTCACAAAGAATCAACAAAAAGATACGCTATATTATTGTCATATCTATGGTCAAGTTTGAAATGGGAAGTGAATTACTAATTAGCCGGACGGAACAATACTATTTGATCATCAAGCAAGTCATGCTGTGTATGAATACACCAATATTTCAACCTCGTATCAAATTTTAAAATTACTACTCGTCATTTTAACATTTATTCATTGTACCAATTGTTTTATTTATCGTTTAAGTGACTGCGTGACAAAGTCTTACTTTTTACGCGCGTCCGATAGTCTCTATCACCCAAAAAACTATTCTACGTTGCAGACTATGAGGTTCTGGGTGACCGAGACTACTCGCTCGATCGCCGTTGTTTAATTGGAGGCAGACCACTATTAATTTCCCCATTGAATTCAATGTTAATTCTGGCCTCTTTGCCAACCTCCAACTTTTCCCCAAATTTTCGTTGGGCTGAATGCTTTTCACTACAGACAGAGGAACAAATTGTCATGTCTTTGCACTAAAATTTGTATAAGGTTGACCACCAAAATTTTGAGATACACAAACTTGAAGAAGCATTCTAAAAACATGGCAGAAAATCTTAATTCAAACCCTATTCGTCCACTCTAGACCAAAAAATCAACAAAAATGTACATGCAAAAGGGGAGAAAAGAGACAGAGAGAGAATTGCTATAAATAGACCGAGATGGTGAAATTTAATGGTGGTCTGCCTGGTCAAATTTAATGGTGGTCAACCTCCTAATTACTGGTAACAGACCATAGGTAATCGTTTTTTTCTGATCCCGGCTGATTCTGACCAGATTTTTGGCCGATTCGGACCAGATTATTTGAATGGCGAGATATTTAAAATATTTTTTCATATATTTAATAATATGACAAATTATTGATTACTTCAATAACAATGAGGTCCTGAAAAGGCTGGGGGGGATAACGTTGTATCAGAAGGTCTGTCATTGAGTCAAGTGGCGTGATTGTGACAAGGAGTAGGGTCGCATGTCCAACCTCGTGGGTTTTCTCCAGGTCTTCCGGTTTCCTCCCACTGCTAAAGACCCCTACGCGCAAGCGAATTATTGAAATAAAATTGAACCATATGTTAGTCCCGAAATGACCTAGTTTTATCGAGTGGACGTTAAATTTCATTTCTCTTTCTCTCCCACCCCCCTCCTCCACCCCCTACAAATGCGATTAAAGATTTCTCAATATCCCAGTTTACCCAAAACTAGCAAACTACCCAATGCAACCCAACATCGTCATACACTACCAGTATTATCAAATGATAACCCAATAACATCATATAGTTGCATACCAACCGGTATCATTACTGCAACAAATCTGTGATAATTTACAATACGGCAAGAAAAGCGTTTTGTGTATATATTGTAATCATTAAATAACATGAAATGGGGTTTAACGTCCTACTGTTCTGCTCCGATTGAGCTATAAGTTTAGTGAGTTTTATTTTTCCCGGACCGCGGCGCTTAAATCTATTCTTATTTCGAATTCAACTGTAAAGAGTTCACTGACAAGAGGGAGGGGGGGCACACTGGGGAATCTCAATGAAATTTCTCGGCCAACACCGGGATTAAACACATGCTCGGACCTTCTGGTTAGCGAGTCAACATCTTACCATGGACCTGTCTTACTCACTGCGTCACGTACCGCGGCTCCCCAGGTTAGTATATAAAAGTACATTTTTTATAATAAACGATCAGCCGAGCTGAGCCGAGCGACAGTTTAACAGTCCGGTCGGCAAACACCAATATTTCGAGTGAACCTGGAAATTGTATACTTTTTTTTATTTTTATGATTGATTTTCGAAGTCTAGGGTGTTCTCTTTCAGAATCTAACGGGTGAACCTCGGTCACCCTTGGGCGTTTTGAGAAATTCAAGATGGCGTCCAAGACGGCCGCCACATCAAATAATCCCCTTTAGTCCCCCTAGTATTTATTCTAGGATGACAATTTTGGCGTCTAATTTTGGTGTCTGGGGTCAAGGAATACACTGAAATCGTTCATTATGTGGTGATTAGATTATAGTAAAATCCAAAATGCCAGACAATATGGCCCTTTAACTCGTTAGCGGCCGTTGGGGCCATTATTCTACCCAGACAAACTATATCTAGAGAAAAATTATATATTTCTGGATATAGGACCATGGATGTAATATAATAACACTACACGCGTGTCTATCAAGGGGCACCAGGGCGACATGGGTCGGTCCTGAAAGGGGGGCGGGGGCACAAGCTCATTGTTGAAAATTTAGAAAAACAAATTCTACCCGCAAAACAGGAACATAACCTCCACAAAACTAGGTAATGTCCAGTTTAATCCTTTAGTCGTTTTTCTGGCTGCTAACTGTGACAGCACTGTATATTCTAAGCCATCCCTAGTGCAGCTACAAGCACACGTACAACATGACCTGTCACTCTTGCATCCACATCTTGTAATGTTCTCAGTTTAGTATCCTTCTCCCAGCAATACTGTTCCAGATTAAGTTCCAGTGGATTGCGATCTTCCAGTGAACGCCACACAATAGCTTGGTGATGAGCTCGTTTTACGTTCTCTGCAAATGTATCATTTGTTAAGCAAGACTACATCGTTTGGGTGGGGAATAATGACGATACATTTCCAGTTTTAGATGTCCACACCCTCCAGCGTTTTTCAGGCATAGATTTTTAGAACTCTGTCCATAACAAGCTGAAATAAATACAGTGGCCCGTGTAACTGTGTAAGCAATGATTCTATTGGAGTGTCTATTACTCCGACGAGTGAGAAAGAACACAATCAATTTCTAACCACTTTCAAAGCTGTTCCTTTCCCCCCACGACGTAGCCACATGTAACCGTGTCATATAGAGTAAGAGCACGAGTTGGCAGGCTTTCAATGACAATTTGATAATTAACATGTGTTTCTCCGTAGTTTGACCAATGTCAACGGTTGTTCTTTCCTCGATTTGGCGATTCCACTGTAAGCTTGTTATGGACAGAGCTCATGCAAATCGATGACTGAAACACACTGGGGGTATAGGCATATAAAACTGGAAATGTGTCGTCATCATCCCCACCTAAACCATGTAATCTAGCTCCAACGAATGATGCCTTTGTAGCGAACTTAGAAGTATGTCATCGCAAATCTATTGTGTGACGTTCACTGGAAGATCGGAATCCGCCGGAACTGTATTGCTCGGAGAAGGACACTAAATTGAAAACATTACAACCGGTAAACTTGCTCCGGAGTCTGTCATGTGGCTCATCAGATGTTGATCAAGAGTGACAGCTCGAGCAGCACTAGGGATGGCTTAGAATATACAGGGTTTTTTGCGCTTGTGCCGTCACAGGTTGCAGTCAGAAACACGACTAAAGGATTAAACTGGATATTACCTATTTTTGTGGAGGTTATGTTCTTGTTTTGCGGGTAGAATTTTTTTTTTAAATATTCATCAAACAGCTCGTGTCTCCCATTTCGGGACCGACCATATGGTCCTTGAGCCCCTTATAAGGATGTATGTGGTGTTATCCTATATAGGCTATAGTTTGTCTCTAGATATAGTTTGGTTCGGTGAATTAATCGCCCCAACCGCTGCTAACGAGTTAAAGGGCCATGTTGTCTGGCATGTTTGATTTTACTATCATCTAATCACCTAACAACATAATGGACGATTTCTGTGTATTCCTTGACCCCCAAAACATACGATTAGACACCAAAATTATCATCCTAGAACAAATACTATGTATGGGAGTTTTAGGGGATTATTTGATATGGCAGTCGTCTTTGGCGCCATCATAAATTTCTCAAAACGCTCAAGGGTGACCGGGGTTCACCCGGCAGATTCTGAAGAGGACACCCCCCTAGGCTACTTACAAAATCAAGTGGACACAGATCACCAAATATTCATACGCCGAAACAAGGGCCAAAGCTATTTTTAGTCTTCCTCTCCCTTTTCCTTTTTCCCCCTTTTGCATGGCGATTTTTGTTGACTTTTTGGTGTAGAATCGAGGAAAAGGGTTTGAAAATACATTTTCTGCCAGGTTTTGGTGAATATTCATAATTTTGATGCGGAAGGATACAAGAGTTGAGAGGTTGGTTAGGTTGAAATGTAGGGCCTGAAATTGCATGTTTATTTGTCTCTACTTCCAGCTTGTGTATCTCAAGTTTTTCATGAAGAACCTCATACGTGCTTTTGGGCAAGTGGTTGCCACATGTTGCTCCATCTTTGGTAGAAAGCGTTCTACCCAACGAAAATTTGGGAAAAAGTTAGAGCCGGTCTAAGATACAAGAATTAACATTGGAGTCAATGGGGAAATCTTTAGTGATCTGTGTCCAAGTGCTCGGTACAACGTATTCCGCGCCTTCGATATATAAAATAAATTGAAAGTAGTCTATTTTTAGTAACTGGGTTATTGTCTGATGGCGACATATTTCTTTTTATCTGATGTAAAGTATGTAATCGTGAATATGCCGGGAAATAACAAGTAGCTAAGTCTCTAACTCAATATCATCCAAAGTCTTACACGTTGAAAATGCGAATTATTTGTCAATTCAAATCAACATTGATGTTGTGATCTTACCAGGAAAAAGCAGGCTTCTGATATCCAATATATTTACTAAGACAAAATAAATATTTTACCATTGGTACATGAATCGTGTGCCATAGTGCGTTTTAGCGTCATTTGCAACAAGTGACCAGAAAGAACGAGGCTAGACATATTCAACTGGAGAGCCTGCTGAATAAACTTGAATAACCAGACGCTAGACATAACTGATTTGAAATTAGAGTCAAAACGGAAACAATTGAATGTAAATCAGTTTATATACAATCAGATTACCTTACTATATGCGTTGCGACCCATTTGGGTCAACTTCTACGTCCCAAGTATTAGCGATTTAGCACCTTTAAATAGCCATGAATAAGAGTATACGCAATTTTGGTTTAAGCCCCGCATTTTTATCTCACTACCCCACCCTGCCCCCACTCGAGAACGTGAAAGGGCCGGGGATGACGGGTGCAAATTAAAAATGCTACGTTTAATCCAAAATTCTGTGTATATATATATATATATATATACTGAAAAGTAAAGTTAATCCTCTCTTTAAGTATGTTCATTATCTTTTAGGAAGAATGCGTATATAGGCCTATATATACTTGTTTTTTTTGGGGTGTTTTTTTTTTTAAAAAAAAATGATAAAAGTTTGTTAGCTTGCACTGGTTGAATTATAATAAAGTGGTGGGAGGGGCGAGTGTTTGATGTCAAAATACGTGTTAATACGAAATTCCAATTAAATCAACTTGTTATTTTCTGGCACATTATAATTTACATACTTTAGACGAGATTAAAGTTGAGCAAAGAAATAGGTCGCCATCAGACAGGTTCCAAAAATAGCCTACTTTCAATTTATTTTATTTGTTGAAGGCTCGGATTAGTCATAGAACTAAATAAAATTTTATTGATTAGCCCTTGTACACTGATAAGTCCATCCAAGCATGGATCGTGTACAGGGGCTTGTTTCACGAAATTTTAACAGTAGATACTTTAATTTTGATTGGCTAAGCACTTAAATCAATTTAATATTATCCAATCAAATTACTAAAATTTGGATTTTATCTTAGTTAAAATTTTGTGAAACAGGCCCCCGTTCTAATTTCTATGATCAAAGCATGTGATTTCACTGAAGTCATGGTTATCCAACGAATTCCTTTCTGTATATTGAGTTGATTCGCCCTTATTGCATGGTGGCTTATATTGTCTGCCAGGTTGATCTAACGTTAGCTAATAGTCCCGACTAACACACTCGGCAAACCTCCGCAGACTCCAGTATCCAACATCTAACTAGATGTATAAAACCGGAATAAACCGATGTTTAGCGAGTGTCGACTACCGGACAAATGCTCTAATGTTAATAGATGTGTAAAATTCCCGGAGAATGAGTGTTACGCCCAATCCCTTTTATTATTGTGGTTTGTACAACTAGCTGTGACTAACGAACGGTAGGAGCTAAATTCTATTTTCGCCCATTCATTACACTGGATTACAATTGTTCTAACATCATAGTCTTAATCTTTGAAATTCGTATGCGTTACCGTTGGGTTGATTGACCCAACTGAATTTTAACGTTGTTTGTAGCGGCGCTATTGCACTTTCGTACCTCTACCAGTTCCCGTGGTCGTAGGCACTTGAAATTTTCAGAGGATGTTAAGGGGGGCTAGCAATGACCACACACCAAATTTCAGCCGAATCGATAAATAACTTTTTATTTTACCGACCTTTTAATTTCTAACGAGAGAGAACTTCATCCGTTTGACGCCATTTGCTTTGTTTACTAATTAGACTTGAATAACAAGACACTAAGACGGAAACCGACTCGAATAACAAGACACTTAGACGGAAACCGACACACTGCACTAGCTGCCTAACACTGCAGTTCATAAAAATTAATATAATTTTCGTATACTTTAATTTTTGCGCGAAGCCACCATTTTCTATAAAATACTATTTGGTGTTGATCAGTGGATTGGCCTTTAGGTGTGAATATTGCCGTGACCTTGATTTTGACCTTGAGGCCAAACTTCCCATCCATATCGGGGCCTTTGCGTTTATGCTTGCCGTGGCCTTATTTCCTACTGTATTATCAAAGTTAATGTTCGAGGTGAAAGCAGAGATGACGTCCTTCAGAAAAGATACTTGGGTTAAAGTCGTAGGTCAAGGTCATGTTACAGAAAACTAAACTCAAACTTTTCAAAGTCATTTTTGGGACATTTGACCTTGACTTACGACCTTGACCCCGTTACCATTTTCGAAGGCTATCACATTGGCTTGAATCATGAACGTTTACCTTGGTCCTATAGCACACTGCTCGGTCAGAAAACGGTCAAACGCAGAGGGTCCGTGTCCGAAAGGAAGTCAATGGGCGTGGTCAATGTGAAAGGTCGTGGTGACCTCCACTAGTCACCGTTAACCATCCGTAACCTTGACTCTGACCTTGAGTCCAAACGTCCCATCCATCTCGGGCCCTTTGCGTTTATGCTTGCCGTGGCCTTATTTCTAACTGTATTATCAAAGTTAATGTTCGAGGTGAAAGCAGAGACGACGTCCTCCAGAAAAGATAATTGGGTCAAAGTCGTAGGTCAAGGTCATCTTACAGAAAACTAAACTCGGACTTTTCAAAGTCAGTTTTGGGACATTTGACCTTGACTTACGACCTTGACCTCGTAACCATTTTCGAAGGATATCACCTTGACTTGAACCATCGACGTTTACTTTGGTCCTGTCACACACTGTTCGGTCAGAAAAGGGTCAAACGCAAAGGGCCCGTGTCCGAAAGGAAGTCAATGGGCGTGGTCAATGTGAAAGGTCGTGGTGACCTCCACTAGTCACCTTTAACCATCTGTGACCTTGACTTTGACCTTGAGTCCAAACTTCCTATCCATCTCGGGCCCTTTTCGTTTATGCTTGCCGTGACCCTATTTCTTACTGTATTATCAAAGTTAATGCTTGAGGTCAAAGCAGAGACAACGTCCTTCAGAAAAGTTAAAAGGTCAAAGTCGTAGGTCAAGGTCTTGTTACAGAAAACTAAACTCAAACTTTCAAAGTCAGTTTTGGGACATTTGACCTTGACTTACGACCTTGACCTCGTAACCATTTTCGAAGGCTATCACCTTGACTTGAACCATCGACGTTTACTTTGGTCCTGTCGCACACTGTTCGGTCAGAAAAGGGTCAAACGCAAAGGGCCCGTGTCCGAAAGGAAGTCAATGGGCGTGGTCAATGTGAAAGGTCGTGGTGACCTCCACAAGTCACCTTTAACCATCTGTGACCTTGACTTTGACCTTGAGTCCAAACTTCCTATCCATCTCGGGCCCTTTTCGTTTATGCTTGCCGTGACCCTATTTCTTACTGTATTATCAAAGTTAATGCTTGAGGTGAAAGCAGAGACAACGTCCTTCAGAAAAGTTAAAAGGTCAAAGTCGTAGGTCAAGGTCATGTTACAGAAAACTAAACTCAAACTTTCAAAGTCAGTTTTGGGAAATTTGACCTTGACTTACGACCTTGACCTCGTAACCATTTTCGAAGGCTATCAACTTGGCTTGAATCATGGGCGTTTACCTTGGTCCTGTCGCACACTGCTCGATCAGAAAACGGTCAAACGCAGAGGGGCCTATGCCCGAAAGGAAGTCAAGGGCGTGGTCAATGTGAAAGTTCGTGGTGACCTCCACTAGTCACCTTTAACCATACGTGACCTCGACATCGACCTTGAGTCCAAACTTCCCATCCATCTCGGGCCCTTTTCGTTTATGCTTGCCGTGACCCTATTTCTTACTGTATTATCAAAGTTAATGCTTGAGGTGAAAGCAGAGACAACGTCCTTCAGAAAAGATAAATGGGTCAAAGTCGTAGGTCAAGGTCATGTTACAGAAAACTGAACTCAAACTTTTCAAGGTCAGTTTTGGGACATTTGACCTTGACTTACGAGCTTGACCCGTAACCATTTTCAAAGCCCATCATCTTGGCTTGAACCATCGACTTTTACCCTGGCCCTGTCCCAAAAATGAAATAAGGTCACGGCACGCATAAACGCAAAGGGTCCGAGATGGATGGGAAGTTCGGACTCTAGGTCAGGGTCAAGGTCACGGATGGTTAACGGTGACTAGTGGAGGTCACCACGACCTTTCACATTGACCACGCCCATTGACTTCCTTTCGGACACGGGCCCCTCTCCGTTTGACCCTTTTCTGACCGAGCAGTGTGTGACAGAACCAAGGTAAGCGTCCATGATTCAAGCCATGGTGATAGCCTTCGAAAATGGTTACGGGGTCAAGGTCGTAAGTCAAGGTCAAATGTCCAAAAAATGACTTTGAAAAGTTTGAGTTTAGTTTTCTGTAACATGACCTTGACCTACGACTTTGACCCAATCATCTTTTCCGAAGGACGTCGTCTCTGCTTTCACCTCGAACATTAACTTTGAAAATACAGTAAGAAATAAGGCCACGGCAATCATAAACGCAAAGGCCCTGATATGGATGGGAAGTTAAGACTCAAGGTCAAAATCAAGGTCACGGCAATATTCACACCTAAAGGCCAATCCACTGATCAACACCAAATAGTATTTTATAGAACATGGTGGCTTCGCGCAAAAATTAAAGTATACGAAAATTATATTAATTTTTATGAACTGCAGAGATAGGCAGCTAGTGCAGTGTGTCGGTTTCCGTCTTAGTGTCTTGTTATTCGAGTCTAAATAGTAAACAAAGCAAATGGCGTCAAACAGATGAAGTTCTCTCTCGTTAGAAATTAAAAGGTCGGTAAAATAAAAATGTTATTGATCGATTCGGCTGAAATTTGGTGTGTGGTCATTGCTAGTCCCCCTTAACATCCTCTAATAATTTCAAGTTCCTACGACCACGGGAACTGGTAGAGGTACGAAAGTGCAATAGCGCCGTTTGTAGCTAAGTCTCTAACTCAATATATCATCCAAAATCTCCAACATTGAAAACACGAATTATTTGTCAATTTAAAACAACGTTGATGCTGTGATCTTACCGGAAAAAGATGGGCTTCTGATATCCAATATTTAAGACAAAATAAATATTTTACCATGTCCATAATTGGTACACGAATCGTGTACCATATGCGTTTCAGCCCCAGTTCTAGCAAGAGAAATGAAATGAAATGAAATGAAATGGGGTTTAACGTCCTACTGTTCTGCTCCGTTTTAGCAAGAGACTCGAGGAACGAGGCTAGACATATTGCACCAAACCAAACGGCGTATGTAGACTGGAATAACCAGAAGCAAGGAATTTGCTAGTTACTATACTTGTAACATTAAACTGTGTGTTTAACGTTACAATTGATACAGTCTAAGAATCCTTACGCAAGTTCAAATAGGTTCAAACGCACCATTGTCAACACGTATCATTACAGTTTGTATTGGAATAATTAATTCTATGACAAATAGTGAAGACGGACCACAGTGCAAACAGTTACGAAGGAGTTTTTCTTTGTGGTTATGCGTTCTGCATAAGGGAGGTATAGGCCAGTAAACTTTTTGTAGTGATTTCACTAAAAAACTTGCGCAAAGGAACTCTGTAAGGACGAGCCACTACTGTGGCTGGAGTAAGGCGGAAGACATCAGTAGTGGTACCATTTCTAGGAATTTGCATTCGATTGAGACTGCTGGCTTATTTCACGGAACATAACTGATTTGAAATTAGAGTAAAAACGGAAACGATTGAATGTAAATCAGTTTATATACATTCATATTACAGTGCGACCCACTTGTGTCAATTTCTAGGTCCCAAATGTTAGCGATTTAGCTCCTTTAAGTTTAACCGCTGGTGGGAGCCCAATCTGTTTCACAGAGGATTACGAGAGCCTTAAATATCTCTGTAAAAGATGATTACCTTTAACACATGACCTCTTATCACGCGGGGTCAATCATTGGCTCAATGGCGCGTGTATTGTTTACATAACTATAAGACGTTCTAGTTTGGGCAGAATGGAGACTTTTATTCATTTTAATACCCATTGCACTAAATAGGAAATAATTTTTACCTACAAATACGCCTTTATTTATTTTTCTTATACATAAAAAAATGTTTTAGAATTTAATTTGTTGCAGGAAAAAAGTTAATATTTCTGGCTCATTAAGTCCTTATCACTAAGTGATTGTAGCGGCCTAGCGAAAAATTCACTGCTGATCAAAACCAAACCTCATCTCTGAACCCTCCGTGTTTCGAGAGGAGAGATGGTGCTACATACATGTATATAGTTCCACGTAGCATATCCGACACAAATCACATCGGGCCTCGCCCTCACGGCCTGCAGTAAGCAAAACTGACAATATTTCATCAAAACAACAATTGATTATTGTTATTTATATTTCTGCCACATCCAACTACAATTAAGCATATAATCCTACCTGAAACGGGTATAAATCATCGTATTTAAAATCGAAGCGTTAAGCCGTTACTAGGAACGTGATTTTTAAACGGGATATGTATGATTGATGGTGTATGTCCGATAAAAACAATGCTTCATTAATCTAAACGCGTTACATTGGCCTTTGTAAGTTTAATTAGTCATAATAAAATTATCTTATTTTTAAGATGTTACATGCATTAATTAAGAAATTCAGTTTTCTACTTGGATCTAAATGAAATCTATACTGGGCAAATGAAGACGGGCATACGCCATACAGTGTGCTATGAGGGAAATTTTGCCCGGGCAGCGGCACTATCGCTTACTCTTATATCGAACTCCAATAGCCATGGGATCTTTTATGTGCATTCCAATGTATACACGGGACCTCGTTTTTTACTCTCATCCAAAAGGACTAGACAGCTGTCCTTGTCATGCCCTCCGTACTTGGAATGAAATGCACCCAATCGTAGCTAAAAACAAGAACGTAGCTAAAAATGTTGAGATATACTGATGTTCAGCTCTGAACCAGCCTAAGGACAGCACTGTCTAGTCATTTAGATGGCACAAAAAAACTGAGGCCCTACATGTAAACATTGGCATGCATGTAAAAGATTCCTTGGCAGTTGAAATTTGATATAAGAGTAGACTGTAGCGCCTCTGTCGGCAAAATTTCCCTCGTAGCACACTGTATTTTTATGGCGTAGGGCCTATGCCTATCTTCATTAGCCCAGTCGGAGCAGAACCTTAGGACATTTAACCCTATTTCATTTCATTTCATTTTTTCGACCCCTGGCAGTAGCATGTACCAACCAAATTATATTTTTAAGCAAATTTAATTTGCCTTTTGGCACAAAAATTCTCTCAAATCATAGAATTTGACTTAATGTTGTCTTCGCCCTTGTCTGTCCCGTCCCGTCCACAGTATGTTTGTGGACACTCTACACTAAAGGTCACAATTTTTATCCGATTTTCACAAAACTTGAAGTATAGGTTTATTTCGCAAAGATCAATTGGCTCCTTTCCGGATCGTACCTTCCTGGATTATGTCCCCTGATTGTACGAAAAATCACGTTTTTAGCTTGTGGACACTCTAGAAATCACAATGTTTATCCAAATTTAAAAAACATTCATATATTATACCGTTATACCCTAATGATGTTTGAGTTCGAATTTTGTGAAAATCGGACGGAAACTACACAACAAAATGATCGCTCCTCATACTCATGCCACACTCTAGAGATCACAATTTTTATCAGATTTTGAAGAATTTTGAAAGATGTTTAACTTTTTATCCAAAGATCTTAGTTTTCCTTTTTATACCCCACATTTTCATGTGGACGTATATTGTCGTCGCCCCTGTCCGTCCGTCCGTCCACAATTTGTTTGTGGACTCTCTACAGGTCACAATTCTTGTCCTATTTTAACGAAACTTGAAATATAGCTTTATCCCCAAAAGATCTCGGCTGCTTTCGATATTGGCATGTATCAGATCGGAACTTCATGGATTATGGCAACTGTTTGTACGAAAAATCACGTTTTTAGCTTGTGGACCCTATAGAGGTCACAATTTTTATCCGATTTTGTTGAAACTTGACATGTAAGTTTATAACCCAAAGATCTCAGTTCCTTTTGATATTCGTGCATATCGGACCATAACGTCCTGAATTATGGCCCCTGATTGTACGAAAAATCGCGTTTTTAGCTTGTGGACCCTATATAGGTCATAATTTTTATCCGATTTAAAAAACCGTATTATTATATCACCGTTACACCCTAAGGAAGGTTGAATTCGAATTTGTAGAAAATTGGACCAAAATTGCTGGACAAAATGGCCGCTGTTTGTACGCGAATAGTGTAAAAATAGAATAAATCAAGGTTGTGGACCCTGTATGGGTCACAATTTTAATTCATTTTTGATGAAACTTGAAAAGCATGTTTATAACCTAAAGATCTTGGTTCTTTTCGATATTGTCACATATCGGATCGTAACTTCCTGAATTATGGCCCCTGATTGTACGCAAAATCGCCTTTTTTAGCTTGTGGTCCCTCTGGAGGTCACAATTATTATCCGATTTAAAAAACATTTGATTATATCACTGTTACACCGTATTGAAGGTTGAGTTCGAATTTCGTGAAAATCGGACCAAAATTGCCGGACAAAATGGCCGCCGCTTGTACGCGAATAGTGTAAAAATATGGTATATGTCAAGGTTGTGGACCCTGTAGAGGTCGCAATTTTAATTCGATTTTGATGAAACTTGAAATGCATGTTTATAACCTAAAGATCTTGGTTCCTTTCGATATTGTCGCATATCGGATCGTAACTTCATGAATTATGGCCCCTGATTATACGAAAAATCGCCACTTTTACCTTGTGGTCCCTCTGAAGGTCACAGTTATTATCTGATTTTAAAAATCGTTTGAATATAGCACCGTAACACCATAATAAAGGTTGAGTTCAAATTTCCTGAAAATCAAACCAAAACTGCCGGACAAAGTGGCCGCGGCTTGTACGCAAAAGGTGTAAAAATATGGTATATCAAGGTTGTGGACCCTTTAGAGGATACAATTTTTAATCCGATTTTGATGAAACTTGAAATGTATGGTTATCACCCAAAGATCTTGGTTCCTTTCGATATTTGCGCATATCGAATTGTAACTACATGAATTATGGCCCTTGATTGTAGGAAAAATCACTTTCTTTTTAGCTTGTTCTCTATCCATCTCTCAAAAATGTGGGCGTATCCTGCCTGGCAGCCGCTGGTTATATTCGGTCGCAAATATTGGACTGTAACTTCTGGATTATGGCCCCTTAGTGTACGAAAATTCTCATTTTTAGCTTGTTGACCCTTTAGAGGTCACAACTTTTTATCTGATTTCTATGAAACCTAATATATATATATATTTATATCGCAAAGATCTTGATTGCTTTCTATATCGGCGCATATTGGATCATAACTTAGCTTGTGCGGGCTTTCAAGAGAGGACAATAATTATCTGATTTTGATGAAACTTATAATATATGTTTATAATCCAAACATCACGATCACAGTGTCATTCGATGTTGTCCATGTCGTATCGTGACATACTGGATTATAGCCCCTGATTGTTCGAAAAATTGCTTTTTTTTAGAGCTTGTTCTCTGTCCACTCTTGCAAAATGTTGGTGTATGTTTGTTTCACTTTTGACTCTGAAACCTGATGCAAGCTTGTTTTTGTTTCAATTGATATTATTTGCTTGTTAGAAATGTGCGTTAATATTTCTATTTGTAGATTGGTATAACCTCAACAAACAGTATCAGTATGGTTTGTGTAGTAAGGCATGATGTTTATCAACTGGTCTTGACAATATGCATGTTTGTAGTCTCTGTCAATGGTAAGAATCAGGAAAAGATTTAAGTGGGTGTTAATGAATAAAATTTCCAATGCGTCCATGGCTGTCTATCATTTAATTTTCCCAGAATTTTTATACGGACACATTTCCATGTCGGCTGCTTTCGATATTGGCATGTATCGAATCGAAACTTCATGGATTATGGCCCCTGATTGTACGAAAAATCACGTTATTAGCTTCTGGACCCTATACACACATGCGTTGAGATACTCACAGGGTAAAAAAAAAGTTCACTGAGTAATGTTTATATATTCTTGAAGGAGACATGGGTGGTTTCAAAAAATGGTATAAACAAAAAAAATCGAATGAGCCCTTTAGAAACAGGGAACACCGTTCAGAAAATTTTCTGATATCAACTCCCCAAAGGTTACCGCCCAATCCACCCTTTGGGGAGATGACATCAGAAGATTTTCCCAAACTGAAAAACCGTAGGGTTGATATCAGAAACTTTTCTGAGAGGTATCCCCCCGCATCCCGTTCACCTATAGTATGAGAGCTACAAAAATAGCTTCTTCACCGGGTAAATATAAAAGTTTCCTGGCTTGCCTGAGTATCACAAAAGTTTCCTGGCTGACCCAACTCATACATAATTGTTTGCAGTATTACATTTTATACATATTACCCAGTGTATAATAACAAGCTCAAGTATTTAATTTTAATGACAACTGTCAGAAATGCCGAAAGATGCGCTATCACACGAGGAAAATATTGTATATCAAGGTTGTGGACCCAATAGAGGTCACAATTTTTATCCGATTTTGTTGAAACTTTAAATTGAAGTTTATAACCCAAAGATCTCTGGGCCTTTTGATATATGCACATATCAGACCTTAACTTCCTGAATTATGTTTCTGATTGTACGACAAATTACGTTTTTAGTTTGTGGACCCTTTAGAGGTCATAATTTTTATCCGATTTAAAAAATCGTTTTAATATATCACCGTTACACCCTAAGGATGGTTGGGTTCGAATTTCGTGAAAACTGGCCCAAAAATGAAAGACAAAATGGCCGCCCCTCTTTCTCAAATAGCGTAAAAATATGGTATATCAAGGTTGTGGACCTTATAGAGGTCACAATTTAAGTTCAGCTTGTGGACCTTCTAAAGGACATAATTTTTATCCGATTTAAAAAAAACATTTAAGTATATCACCGTTACACCCTAAGGATGGTTGAGTTCGAATTTCGTGAAAATCGGCCCAGTACTGACAGACAAAATGGCCGCACCTTGTTCTCAAATAGCTTAAAAATATGGTACATCAATGTTGTGGATCCTGTAGAGGTCACAATTTTATAAGTTTTTAACCCAAAGATCTCGGTTCCTTTCGATACTCACGTATATCGGACTGTAACTTCCTAAATTATGGCCCCTAAGTGTACGAAAAATCGCGTTTTTAGCTTGTGGGCCCTATAGCAGTCATAATTTTAATCCGATTTAAAAAGACGTTTAAATATATCACTGTTAAAACCTAAGGATGGTGGAATTCAAATTTTGTAAAAATCGACCCAAAACTGACAGACGAAATGGCCACCCTCGCACTCAAATAGCGTAAAAATATGGTATATCAATGTTGTGGACCCTCTAGAGGTCACAATTTTCTTTTGATTTTGATGAAACTTGAAATGTAATTTTATAACCCAAAGATCTTGGTTCCTTTCGATATTCATGCATATCGGATAGTAACTACCTGAATTATGGCGCATTTCAGACCATAACTTTCTGGATTATGGCCCTTGATTGTACAAAAAAACCTGTTTGTTTTTAGCTTGTCCTGGCAGCCACTGGTCTTTTATTAAACATTTAAGATATTTAATGGTAAATTAGTATACAGTTGCATCAGACAGAGGGCCTAACAACGGCTACATGTTTTGTTTGTGGACACTGTACCTACAGCTAATAATTTTTGTATCCGATTTTGACGAAACTTGAAGTTTTGGTTGAGTTCTCAAAGATTTTGAAAGAATCGAAAAGTAACTTCATGGATGATGATGGCCCCTGACTACAAAAAATCATGTCTGTAGCTTATTTTTATCTGATTTTGATGAAACTTGAATAACACAAAGATCTAGGTACCTTTCGATATTCATGCATATCAGACCCTAACTTCCAGGATTCTGACCCCCTATTGTACGCACAATCACGTGTTTAGCTTTTTGTCCCTCTAGACATCACAATTTTTATCCGATTTAAATATACGTTCGACAATATCGCTGTTACACTATAGTGATGGTTGAGTCCGTGTTTCATGAAAATCGGACCAAAACTGCCCGACAAAATGGCCACTCCTAGCATAAATGAAAAGTACACATATAGTGTAAAAGTATGGTATGGTATATCAAGGTTGTGAACCCTCTAGAGGTGACAATTTTGATCTGATTTTGATGAAACTTGAAATGCATGTTTATATCCTAACGATCTCAGTTCCTGTCAATAATAGCGAATATTGGAAGTAACTTTCTGGATTGTGGCCCTGATTGCATTTTTATACGCCCACATTTTCATGTGGACGTATTATGCCGTCGCCCCTGTCCGTTCGGACGTCCGTCCGTCCGTCTGTCCACAATTGTTTGTGGACTCTCTACAGGTCACAATTCTTATCCGATTTCGACGAAACTTGAAATATAGATTTATCCCCAAAAGATCTCGGCTGCTTTCGATATTGGCATGTATCGGATCGAAACTTCATGGATTATGGCCCCTGTTTGTACGAAAAATCACGTTTTTAGCTTGTGGACCCTATAGAGGTCACAATTTTTATCCGATTTTGTTGAAACTTGAAATGTAAGTTTATAACCCAAAGATCTCAGTTCCTTTCGATATTTGCGCATATCGGACAGTAACTTCCTGAATTATGGCCCCTGATTGTACGAAAAATCACGTTTTTAGCTTGTGGACCCTATAGAGGTCATAATTTTTATCCGATTTAAAAAATAACGTTCTATTATATCACCGTTACACCCTAAGGCTGACTAAGTTCGAATTTCGTGAAAATCGGCCCAAAATTGACAGACAAAATGGCCGCCATTCGTTCCCAAATAGCGTAAGAAAATGGTATATCAAGGTTGTTTTTTAGCTTGTGGACCCTATAGGGGTCACAATTTTTATCCGATTTTGTTGAAACTTGAAATGTAAGTTTATAACTCAAAGATCTCGGTTCCTTTCGATATTCGTGCATATCGGACCGTAACTTCCTGAATTATGACCCCTGATTGTACGAAAAATCACGTTTTTAGCTTGTGGACCCTATAGAAGTCATAATTTTTACCCGATTTAAAAAAACTTATTATTATATCACTGTTACACCCTAGGGACGACTGAATTCGAATTTCGAGAAAATCGGCTAAAAATTGACAGACAAAATGGCCGCCGTTCGTTCTCAAATAGCGTAAAAAAATGGTATATCAAGGTTGTATACCCTATAGAGGTCACAATTTTTATCCGATTTTGTTGAAACTTGAAATGTAAGTCTATAACCCAAAGATCTCGGTTCCTTTCGATATTCGCGCATATCGGACCGTAATTTCCTGAATTATGGCCCCTGATTGTACGAAAAATCACGTTTTTAGCTTGTGGACCCTATAGAGGTAAGACGCTGGCTCGCTGGCCTGGAGGTTGTGTGTTCAATCCCTGCGTGGTTCCCCCTTGTCAGTGATGCAGGATGGAGGACCTGACAAGGACAGCTGTCTAGTTGTTCGGATGGTAGGAATAACTGAGGTCCCGTGTACACATTGGAATTTGATATTTGAGTAGGCCGTAGAGCCGCTGTCCGGGCAAAATTTCCCTCATAGCAGACTGTAGGACATATGCCTGTCTTCATTAGCCCAGTTCGGAGCAGAACATGAGGACCTTAAACCTCAGTTCATTTCATTTCTAATCTATACCAATGTGGTTTCTCCTTGTCAGTGGTGCAGGACCGAGGGCCTGATAAGCACAGCTGTTAAGTTGTTCTGATGGGACAAAAAAAAACAAAACAAGGCCCTGTGTATACATTGGCATGCACGTAAAAGATCCCTTGGCAGTTGGAATTTGATATAAGAGTAGGCCATACATGTAGTGCTGCTGCCCGGGCAAAATTTCCCTCATAGTACTCTGTATGGTGTATGCATGTTTTCATTAGCCCAATATAGGAGCACAACATTAGGATGTTAAACCACATTTCATTTTTGTGGACACTCTAGAGGTCTCAAATTTTTATCCGATTTTGTATGGTTATATCCCAAATATCTAGGTTCCTTTGATATTCGCACATATCGCACCATAACTTCCTGAATTATGGCCCCTGATTGTACGAAATTTGGTTCCTTTTGATATTGTCAATTGTCGGACTATTACATACTGGTAACTGGATAATGACCCCCGATTGTAGGAAGAATCACTTTCTTTTTTTAGCTTGTTATCCGATTTCTACGAAACTTGAAAGTTAGGTTTATCTCCCTAAGATTTCGACCCTTCTGTATGTCACATGTCAAGTAAAACGTTCATATCTTTTCTTTGGAACATGACAATGAGAAATCACCAACTGTCCTTCAAATGGTGGCGGGTGGATGGCCTAATGGTTAGCATGTGTCGGCTGTCATTGAGTTAACTGGCGTGGTTTCGATTACCCAGTTGTACATACAAGGAGTAGTGCCGCCTGTCTAACCTTGTGGGTTTTCTCCGGGTCCAAATTATTGAATTAAAATTGAACCATACGTTAGTCCTGAAATGACCTAGTTTGTAACAAGTAGACCTTAAACCCCATCTCTTTCTTTCTCTCGCTCTCTCTTCAAATGGCATACATTACTCCTATTATTGGTTTCATTTTGTCAGCGATTGTCAATTGAGGTATCTTTATATCACACATTAATGGAATTACCCATGTAGATATTCTTTTCTTTATTTAGGTGTTGCACAGACAGCAATATCTTGTGGTGAATCTGAAGGAGTTGTAGGACAGCCACAAGTCCTAAGTTGTAGTATTTCTGGTAGTATAGAAAACAATATATTCTGGTATCGTTATAATGCAACTTATAACGAGAATATAGTTCAATGTTCTACTTCATTGGCCAAAACTGTTAGTACATGTGTAGCACCACCTGATTTAAGATCTCGGTATAATGTTAGCACTGAGAAACAACCCCCAAGAAAGCCATCATTTACAATTATCTCTGTATCAGAGGAAGATTTAGAAGTATTGTGGTTATGTTTGGACAGGATTACGTTCCCAGATAGAGCATCAATACCGTATTCTTCAACATGCAGTTTAAAACAAGGTTTGTAGGATTTTGTAATTACCAAATTCAATGTTAGCACATACATTTCAGTCTAGACATCCGGGTTAGCAAAGTTTAATATTTCCATAATTTAGCACTGCAATATTATTTTGACCTATGCCAAATGGTTGTTTCATGTGGAATAATATAGAAGGAAACTATGTAAACACATCCATCACAGTTTCTTACCAAACATCATTTAACATATTATGTGACCTGTGCTGGCAAAATGAGTCACAATAAGGAAATTTCGACAATTGAGTTATTGTTATTTTCACATTCTCCAACTTATTACCTGCAAAACGATGTATGATTGAGTAACAATGGGAGACTCCTTTTTTCCGGTTTATAGAAGGTTTTAAAAGGTTTGTTAAAAAGAAATATAGCAACAATAAATTGGAATATCATACACTCGAAGCCATTAAAAGTGCAATGCCAAATTCAAAGTTTATTTACTGCAACAACTTTTAACAAATGTACATAACAATTGACAAAATCGAGATAACAAGCATCTGTGGATAATTTCATGAAAGAATTCACTACAAATGCACAAAACAATAAAAGTGAGCAGGTGTCAGCTGAAGTCAATATCGGGTATTGCGTTTTTAATAGCTTTGAGTGAATAATAGTACAGAATGAAGATTGGGACATTTTATTTAGTTACAGCAAGATTGAGATCGGCACTTTAAAGATGTTAGTATGTTCCAAGACAACATCACATAGCAACCAGGCAATTTATTTGCTATTTAGTCGTATGATATCCACATTTCCATTGATCAAAATTCGTGAAATTGGAACAAAGGCATTTTTTTCAAAAAATGCCACAGTAATTCCTTCGTGACTACGGCAGTTTTTATATGCACTAAGCCAAAACTTTTAATTTACCTTCGTCACTACGGTATTTTTTTAAACTGGGAAACTTTGACATATATCGATATTATTACGGAATTTGTCCAGAATCAGGTCACCACAACACCCTTAAATTTACGTACACCGCAGTCCATGAATATCGTAATATGAATCCGTTTTATTTCTTCGAAATCAGAAGACCTAAAAATTCTTGCAAGTCCGCGAATCTGCTTTGGCTCAGCGACACGAAGATTTGTGCAATTCTATAATCCGTATCCACGTGAATTCCACCAAATATAAGTATCGTGGTACCAAACTTGCGTTTTAAATGAATACTTCGCCGTTGAGGTGTTGAATTCTGATTCTAAAATATCCATAATACTGTAAATTGATTCTCAAAACACGACTTCACACCTGTGCATCGCATTATATAATTACATGCACCTCGTGCGGTGGACATGTAACGCCCTCTAGATTTTTTTCTTCTCACAACCCGTCTATATTTACGCTGACAATTATATTATATGCAATATTTCCCCTACCTAATTATTTGATTTGGTCATATTTTCCAGTAAATTATTCATAGCCTTTATATCTGGAAATTGTTTTGAACTTCTAAAATGATTAAATTTACTAGACAACGAGCCGTGTGTATTTCCATTCCAGCCACCAGCAAGTGATGTTATGTAGAATTAGGTCAGATAGAAAAATACAGTCACGAGAACTCGGGAAAGAAACAAAACAATAAATTCCTACTTTCGATTATGCCGTGGATTACGCACGTATACAACAGCGATTTTATTGTCAACATCGGCAAACTGCCATTGTGATATTCTTAAATAAATTACCACGGCTAAATATGCCGTAGTTATTATTTATTTTCTACGGCAATTTCACTAAATACTACGGCAATTGCAGTGGGTGCCATCGTGAATTTTGACCCCAGATTTCCAATGACAGTGTTACAAGTTAGAACAAATGAGAATAGTCCATACTTTAGTAATCCATGTTTTGTATATTATAACTTTTATGAGAATAACTTCTGTTAATCTCATCAATTAATTAGAACCTTTAGTGGTCAGGAGATTAAAATTGTTTATTGGATAATCAAGTTTAGTTTCTTGACCATCAAAGAAACCACCAGAGCTATACGTGATTTCTGTTATCATCGTCACACGACTCAACTAAAATAAGGTTTTGTATGTTGTAATGGTACCAGAATCTAAATCACTGATGGAATGATAGAAACTTCAATTTTAATTGTAAGAAATGCTTACATTCACTTCAGTGCATTTTGGCGATGGTATAGTGAAACAAATGGCGGAGAATTTTCTCAGTCGAGAATCATGGTTCTAACGTTTCTGACCCTTGGTGATAAATTTAAAACAATAATATCCAATTCGGCGTGCTTGTACATTTAACATACTATATGAAGCCAAAGTAAATGGAATTCAATTACCAGAATATGATTTTTATACGTCCACATGAATATGTGGATGTATATTGTCGTCACCCCTGTCCATCCGTCCATCAACAATTTGTTTGTGGACACTCTGCAAGTCCCAATTTCTATCCAATTTCAACGAAAATTGAAATGTAGGTTTATCTCCCTATGATCTTTGTTCCTTTCAATATTGGCATGTATCAGACAGTAACTTCATAGATTATGGCCCCTGATTGTTTGGAAAAATCATGTTTTTAGCTTGTGGGCACAGTATAGGTCACAATTTTTATCCTATATTCGTGGAAATTGGACCAAAACTTTCAGACAAAATGGCCACTCCTTTTATGCAAATATTGCAAATGTATGTATTTCCATTGTTGTGGACACTCTAGAGGTCACAATTTTTGTCCGATTTTGATGAAACGTGAAATATATGTTGATATTATTTGATATATGCTTGTTTTTGTGTTGTATCTCTCTATCCAGTGATCCACAATTATTGTACAGTACAGTAGCTTATATGATAAATGTTTTACAATAGCTTGGTGGCATCTCAGATCAGAATAGTTGAACTTGTTCTTTATATGAATAGATTGATTCAGTTTGAATGAATTTATTCTTTAAACATTAAACTCAGAACAACTGTATCAAAAAAATACCCAGATCAAATAAATGGACACCATTGTGTTTCTTTATGAATTTGATACAAAGTTTTGATGGGATTTTCTAAGGAATCTTTTTGTGTTTTTTGATTGGGACATCATGTTAGAACCTCACCAGAACCCCTGTGCTTCAAACTTGTGTTGTTTACAATTAGTTCCATGATTTCTGTCCTGTTCCACATTGTGGAGAATTCCGTAACAAACAGATTCATGCGTGATCTGTTATAATTCCCATTTCTACCCCTTCGTAGAGTACCTAAATAAATTACTGCACTGATACCCCTTCATAGAGTACCTAAATAAATTACTGCCCTGATACCCCTTCATAGAGTACCTAAATAAATTACTGCACTGATACCCCTTCATAGAGTACCTAAATAAATTACTGCACTGACAGGTTGAAAATATCATGTGTGATCTGTTATAATTTCCATTTCTACCCCTTCATAGAGGACCTAAATAAATTACTGCCCTGACAGGCCTTGAGATGAAAATATCATGTGAGTGTACAATATGGTACCCCTCATTGCCTTTAATTCTTCTCTTATTGGTAATTTATAATATTATATATATCACATAATTTATAATATTATATATATCACATAATTTATAATATTATTATATCACATAATTTATAATATTATTATATCACATAATTTATAATATTATATATATCACATAATTTATAATATTATTATATCACATAATTTATAATATTATATATATCACATAATTTATAATATTATTATATCACATAATTTATAATATTATTATATCACATAATTTCCTTAGAAATCTTCAAATCATTGGTAATTTATAATCATTTTCTAAGCTGGCTTAAAATCAAACTTTTACTAATTTATAATAGGGAATGTGGTCGTATGTTATCGTCGGTCTGGCGTCCACAATTGCTTGTGGACGCTCTAGAGGCCAAAGTTAATATCGATTGACCTTAAATTTATACACAGTCTTTAAAGTCATGTGACGAAGAAGCTTATTGATTTTCATTGATTTCCGATAATTACTGCCAGAGTTATGGCCCTTGATCACTTTGCAAAATCTTGTGACGCTCTAAAGGCTAAAGTTATCATCCCATTGACTTTAAATTTATACACAGTGTTTGAGGTGATGAGACGAAGAAGTCTATTGATCTTCAATGAATTTTTATGACTTGAACAGCTAAATCCATGATATTAAAAGTTTTGTATACAAAACGTTAGCATGGGGCAGAACTTTATAAAAACCAAACAAATTCTAATGGTTTTCTGATAATTAATTCATGCGTTGTTGCTCTTAATCAATTTTTAGTGTATTATAAATGTTTCATTACCGAAAAAGTAAAATATGCGGCAACTCTTGTTGACTGCCTGGACGATTTAACTGCTGTGGGCGTATGTTTCTTTGCCTGGCAACCAATCTTTATATCAAAATATTTTCCAAAACGTTACTCATTTTTATACGCCCACATTGAAATGTGGATGTATATTGCCGTCCGTCTGTCGTCTACAATTTCTTGTGAACGCAAAAATTGTTCGCGTTCACAAGAAATTGTAGACGACAGACGGACGATACATGACCCTATAAGACTGCAAGCTTTCTAGTATATAGTTATATTAACCTGATACAAGTCAAACTTTCTGTTTTATCTACCCATATTGAAATGTGGTCGTATATCGTTGTAATCTATGTGGACATATATTGTCGTCGCCCCTGTCCACCTGTATGTCTGTCCGTCCGTTCACATTTGGTTTGTAGAAACTGACACTCTCTGTAGGTCACAATATTTGGGAAACTTGAAATATATAGCTTTACATTCATAAAATCTTGGTTACTTTCGATCTTGGTATGTATCGGACCATAGCTTCGAGATTATTATGGCCCTTGATTGTACGAACTACGTTTTTAACTTGTGGATCCTCTAGAGGTCACAAGTTTTATTTGATTTTAAAATACGTTTAAATATATCACCGTTACACCTAAATGGTGATTTTCGTGAAAATCGGAACAAAACTGTCTGACAAAAGGCTACTCCTTGTACATATAGT